CGCTCCTTGAAGCAACCAAGACTTGCGATCGCCTGTAGCACGTCGGGATCGATCGCTTCCACGGACGGAATAACGTGCGTCTGCACCACGTCCATCATCGACAGCTCCAATTCCAACTCGCCCTTACCCGCCGCCGTTACCCAAATATGCCTATTTATTTCTGCTAACTAAAAGAAATTTACATTCCTTATTTCGAAAATATCTTAGCATTTATTAATATTTTTGATATTAACACGTTTGAAGAGAGAGAGAGAGAGAGAGAGAGAGAGAGAATATCGCAAAGGAAGGTCGCGTCTCATCTTCGCTGCGACGAACGAATCGCGAGCACTCGGAATTGCATAATTTCCTCCCGCGAAGCTGGCGCGCTCGTTTCCGTCCTTCGCTTCCTTCCCCTCTCGTTCAATTTATAGCCATTTTCTGCGGGCACGATGCGGCGAGATAAATCTATCTTTGGCATCGCTTCGTCGAGCCGAGGTGTGGCGAGGGTAAAAGGTAAAAAGGTGTCAGCGTAAAAGAGTAAACCCTCCCTCTATTCCTTTTGTCCTTCTGCTCCTCTTCTCACCTGCATCTCTCTACTTTATCTCCTCCCTTCCACTCCCCCCTTCTCTCTCTCTCTCTCTCTCTCTCTCTCCCTCTCTTCATTCCTTCCTTTCCCTCTATCTCTTCTTCTCCCCTACCTTTCTTGTTATTTCGTCCTTTCGAACAAGAATCGTTCGCTCGTGCGAATTAGCTCAGACTATGACCTTGCTCCAGTAACCTCTTGACCTAACGGAGGCCACGGCCTCCGCAATATGGCGTACACGTTCTGCGCAACGAATAAAACTCGTATCCTGGAAAGGAGAGGGAAGCAAATAGCGAGCTACAGGAACCAATCGTTATGTAGGAGGAATAGGAATTCCTCGATTTCCTCGTGATTCGACTCGCGCTTGGCAGTCATTTCCCATCATTTCCGATTCCGAGACAGTGCGACCGAGTATGACACATAACAACATGGTGCATACCTACTCTTATACATAGGACTTTTTCCGTTTCTTTCATGATGAAACGTGCGTGTGATCGTTCTTTATTTAATAATGCGCTACAATAATGATTTGTAACGAATTGCGCGAATAACGAACTATAGCTTATTTTTTAATATTATTATATACTTGTAACGTTAAATTTAGTTTTTTTATTTAATTCTGAGTAAGTTTAATTTTCTAGATATGTTACAATAATTTCTTTTTCTGTAAGTTTGTCCTACAGAATGGTTATTCCAGATTAGCTATTTATTTTCTAACGTAAAAATCT